ACAGACTACTACAGACTACTACAGACTACTACTACAGACTACTACAGACTACTACAGACTACTACAGACTACTACAGACTACTACAGACTACTACAGACTACTACAGACTACTACAGACTACTACAGACTATTGGAGCTCACGTTCACTGAACCTCAGTTTGGTTTTTTCCTGTTTGTCCTGATATTTTTCCATCTGGAATTCTTTGTAATTTAACACAGTCCAGTTCTAGGAGGTCAGGGTCCGGGGTCAGGGTCAGGGTCAGAGTCAGGGTCAGGGTCAAGGTCAAGGTCAGGGTCAGGGGCAGGGTCAAGGTCAGGGTCAGGGTCAAGGTCAGGGTCAGGGTTAACTAGTAGGTTACTTATTTACTAGTCATTTACTAGTCATTTTCTTTCTTTTCTTTCTTTCTTTCTGTCTTTTTCTTTCTTTCTTCAAAGTCTTCTCTCATTGTTAGTCGGTGAAGCGTGTGATTGGACGGAGGAGGAGATACTTATTAGCATGGTGTACGTCTCGTGTGTGTGTGTGTGTGTGTGTGTGTGTGTGTGTGTGTGTGAAAAGTCTTGTTAGTTGATGGATGAACTTTCTATTGAAGCTGACGGAGCCGAAACTTTCTTTTCATGTCTGTAGGTGGAGCTGAAGGTTAACTGTCGTCACGTGTGTGTGTGTGTGTGTGTGTGTGTGTGTGTGTTGATGTCTTCCTGATGTCTCCTGGATCTAAAGTCAAGAATATTGATGTTTCTCGTCTCAGATTCTTGATCTGTTTTTTCTGATCATCACTGTTTTATTTTATTACTGTTGTCTCCATCAGACACCTACAGGCGGTTAGTGGAACTGCAGCCTTCTCAAACCTGGAGACTGATACGAACTGAAGCTGAAGTCAGAGTTAGAAGAAGTTAAACAGAGGGAGAGACAGGGGGTGGGAGGGTGAGATGGACATGAAGCAGAGAGGGAGGGAGAGAGAGGGAGGCAGAGAGGGAGAGAGGGAGGGAGGGGGAGAGACAGAGCGATACAGGGAGATCAGCCACTGATTCAGTCAGGGCTCCAGTTGGTCTCTGTTCTACTGGGGGAGAGAGAGAGAGAGAGAGGGAGGGAAGGAGAGGGAGAGAGAGAGAGAGAGGGAGGGAGAGAGAGAGAGAGAGAGGGGGGGAGAGAGAGGGAGAGAGGGAGGGAAGGAGAGGGAGAGAGAGAGAGGGAGGGAGAGAGAGGGAGGCAGAGAGGGAGAGAGGGAGGGAAGGAGAGAGAGAGAGGGAGAGAGGGAGGGAGAGGGAGAGCAAGAGCGATACAGGGAGATCAGCCACTGATTCAGTCAGGGCTCCAGTTGGTCTCTGTTCTACTGGGGGAGGGAGAGAGAGAGGGAGAGAGGGAGGGAGAGAGAGAGAGAGGGAGAGAGAGAGAGAGAGAGAATGCCATTAAGGTTGTGAGAAGAGCAGAGTCGACACTAAGAGTCTCCTCGACAGCTGCTCGTGGGGGTTTGATGAAATCAAAGTAGAAGCAGAAGTGTGTGTGTGTGTGTGTGTGTGTGTGCGTGTGTGTGTGTGTGTGTGTGTGAGGGGGGTGTTTGCAGGAATGAGTTTTGGTTTCCTGTGCTTGTGTGGACGTAGCTGTCTCTCTCTCTCTCTCTCTCTCTCCCACCCACTCTCTCTCTCTCTCTCTCTCTCTCTCGTCCCTTCCGTCAGTCTGACCTCAGGTTAGGACCATAAATTGCCGCGCTGCAGAGTCTGGAGGAGTTGGAATTGGGGTTCAGATCCCAGGTGACGAGCTTGACTTTGAAACAAAAACTTTCCAAACTAATTGAATAAAACCTCCTCAGTATTTCTGTGTGTGTGTGTGTGTGTGTGTGTGTGTGTGTGTGTGTGTCATGGACATCCTCCACTTCACTCCTCCTCAGTCTTTTCTCTCCGTTCTGCTTCTCCATTATTTATGTTCTCCACTTTAAAATCCCTGCGTAGCCAGAGGAGAAGAGAGATGGAACCTTCATGTGAAGAACTGTTTGGCTGGACCACAGAAAAAAAAAGAAAAAAAAAGTATAAAATATGTATTTTTTAACTGAACGTCTTGGACAATGTCAAAATGTTATCACCACAGTCAATACTACATCATCATAATAGGAATCTTAATGTGTTTTTTTTCCTCTTCTGTATCTGTTATTGAAGAACACTGAGTGAAATACTTAATGAAGTATCTGCTACTACACGCAGTACCTACAGAGTAAATGGAGGAAAATCAAACATATTCACACCTGATTATTTGGTCCTGGAGCTCGAAAATAAAAAAGAGTTTTTTCATCACTTCAGGTCTACAGTTCAACCTGAACCTGAACGAAAAAAACAGGATCAGACACCAGAGCTAACGTTAGCTACGACAGTCCTGGTACAGAGACCAGAGGTAACGTTAGCTACAACAGTCCTGGTACAGACACCAGAGCTAACGTTAGCAACGACAGTCCTGGTATAGACACCAGAGCTAACATTAGCTACGACAGTCCTGGTACAGACACCAGAGCTAACATTAGCTACAACGGTCCTGGTACAGACACCAGAGCTAATGTTAGCTACAACAGTCCTGGTACAGACACCAGAGCTAATGTTAGCTACAACAGTCCTGGTACAGACACCAGAGCTAATGTTAGCTACAACAGTCCTGGTACAGACACCAGAGCTAATGTTAGCTACAACAGTCCTGGTACAGACACCAGAGCTAACATTAGCAACGACAGTCCTGGTACAGACACCAGAGCTAATGTTAGCTACAACAGTCCTGGTACAGACACCAGAGCTAACGTTAGCTACAGTTTACCTTTTTATTTACCTTTTAATCGTCTCAGCTCTGACAGTAAAAATCCTTTTCTCTGTTTGTTTCTGTTTTTTAGGAACGTATAGTGGTGGAGAGTTCTGATTGGCTGGTGGTTGTTCCATACTGGGCAACATGGCCCTACCAGACCCTGCTGTTACCACGACGACACGTCCTCAGGCTCAATGACCTCACGGCTGATGAGAAGGAGGGTAAGAGTGTGTGTGTGTGTGTGTGTGTGTGTTTAACTTCTAATCTTTTAATTCTAAAAAGACAATGGAATAAGGACGATTAAAAAAGGTGAATTATTAATTTTTCATATGGGATGTAACAAAATAAAGAACTTTAAATAATAATATTCCAAATGAGGAAAGTCATTTAGCAGTAGGAAATCTAATGTTCACGAGGAGACGGTTCGTCATTATAGAATGTTTTGATGTGATGAAATAATCAAAATAAAACATCAGTGATCAATGAAATGAAGTAAACAGATAAATCAAGCTGGCCAATCAGCTGCTTCAGATCAGTGCTGAAGGATTATATAACACAGTCACTCTGCAGCATTTGACTCTTTTTTTTGCCGGTACTTTCTCTCAGGCTCATTCGTTACCCATTCAGTGATTTCTTTTATATTTCATTTCCCCACAGAAGTGGAATCAAAGCTTCCTGTTCTCCCCCGTTTACCGCCCCTTCCTTCCTCGAAGATATTTCAATTTTTTATGGTTACACTCCTTTTGTCAGCTCCTCTCCTCCTCTTCTTCATTCATTATGGACAAAATTCAATATCAGATATCGACCCCCCCCCCTCANGTCTTCATTTGTCAGGTCTGGCCGACATCATGAAGCGACTGCTGACCAAGTACGACAATCTCTTCCAGGTCTCCTTCCCCTACTCCATGGGCTGGCACGGTGAGAGACCACCCTGGGGGCAGTAACCATGACAGATGACCTTTGTGACCTCCGTCACACAGGTCACGAGTACATGGGATAAACTTGGACTGGAGGTTTCTGTTGTAGCAGACACTAGCCTAGCTATACTAGCCTAGCTATACTAGCCTACCAGACACTAGCCTAGCTATACTAGCCTAGCACACA